AGCAGAGGATGGCCCACTGGATAGGGGATGCCATCACCCTGGCTGATCAGGCACAGGGTGTGCCCTGCCCGCTCAGGTTGCGAGCTCACTCAACTAGAGGTGTTGCATCCTCCTGGGCGCTGGCTCGTGGCGCCTCGCTGACAGATATTTGTAGGGCTGCGGGCTGGGCGACCCCTAACACATTCACTAGATTCTATAGCCTTCGTGTGGAGATCTTATGCGTTATGCAAATCTTCCCACATCATGACGTAGACATGTGGGGGCGTGTTAGAACGAGCCGTTTTAGGTAGGCGTGGTTGACTCTTAACTTTTAAAAAGAACATCTCTTTGGATTTGAGACTTTAGTCTTTGCAACTTTACAGATCTTCTTTATGCACCAAGAGCTTGTAACACTCCAAAGAGAAAGGAAAAATTGAAATCGCATCATATGACCCCTTTAAAAAAAAACATATTGCATCATTAATCATTATCTGTAGCACTGAGAGGAGGGGAAAGCAGTCAGAAAGGAGGAGTGAAAGAGACCAGACCGTGCCTTTTGAATTGACAATGCATATCCAGAGCTCTGATGAAACCAGCCCCGCTTGTGAGCTGAGGGAATCGTCTCAACCATGCAATGCAAAACATTATTTCCACTAGAGAGCAAACACTCGGAGTACAGATTCATATAAGAATGTTATTCAGCTCACTGCGGTTCATTTGAAGTTCAGGGTAAGAACAAAACAAGAGCATGTCATAGGTTATGATCAGAAGACAGGTAAAGCAGTGAAAGGAGACATTTTTGAAAAGTTTGCTTTGAAATTTACATAACCCCCTTTTCATGCTTGAAAACACTGATGCAGAAGGGTTATGTGAGGTTGACCTTCAGAGACCCACTGTAGCAAATCTGGAAAAGTTGATTACATTATAACAATTTATTACTAGGTGATAGCTATAAAATATAGCTACAAAATACCGTCTTATATCGGTTACACTTTACAATAAGATTCATTAGTTAACATTAGTTAACTACTTTAGTTAACATGAACTAAGAATGAACAATACTTCTACAGCATTTATTTATCTTAGTTCATGTTCATTTCAACATTTACTAATGCTTTATTAAAATCAAAAGTTGTGCTTGTTAACATTAGTTAATGCGCTGTAAATGAACATGAACTAACAGAGAACAACTGTATTTTCATTAACTAACATTAACAAAGATTAATAAATACTGTAATAAATGTATTGTTTATTGTTTTTTCATGTTAGTTAACACATGAACTTACATTAACTAATGGAATCTTATTGTTAAGTGTTACCCTTATATCTTTAAGCATTTTGATGGAATTTAATATTAAAGGCATAGTTCACTCAAAAATTACATTTTTATATTTTGAAGAATGTGGATAACCAAACAGTAACTGGTCCCCATTGTCTTCCATAGTATTTTTTCCATACTATGTAAGTTAATGGGAACCAACAGCTGTTTGGTGAGAGTAAATTTTCATTTTTTGGTGAATTATTCCTTTAATGGAGTTTTTTCTTTTCTTATTAATCTGATGGGCCATTTTCTTACTGGTTTTTTAATCTAAAGTTTTATACTAAAAGTTTTTATTATTCTAAATTCCCCAAATATTGTGATAGAATATTTTCATAACCATTGGATTAATAAAAGCACTTTCAATGATGAAAGAAGGATGAAATTATACAATTATCATCAACGCTTGGGTCTCTAATGCTTGAACATTTCAGATTCTGTTGAACATCTGTGGTAACAAAAACTGAATCAGTGCACTCTGGAAGCACTTCTGTCATGGTTATATTTCAGTGCTTTTGTTTAAATTCTGATCCGTGTGAACCTGTACTTTATTCTATGCCTCTTTAGTGCCTGGAAGTAGTGTGAAATCAATCAATGGCACAACCTCTGCTCTGCATTTAAACTAGCCTCAAGTTTAAAACCCTTTCAACCCACACAACCCAAACTTAGCAGGAGCTCTTGTGATCTGATTTTAAGATTCAAGCACCATCGACTCACATAGCCCAAAAAATTAGCCAGAGCACTTCTGAATGCTTTTAAATCATTTGTAAATGAACACATATAAATCTTTGTAGTTCGATATTTTAGGAACTTGAGTTTGCGACGCTTAAAATTGTTCCATAAAAGATTCATGATCTAAAGACTCAAGAATAGAATTACAGTGAGTGTGTAGCGAATCAGCTCATGGGGAAATATGAATAATTAACCATAACTAGTTATAATTAACTATTCATATTTTAGATCCGCTGTAGATATTTAGCTGACCTCTCAGGGTCAACTGTCTTGTCAATTCCAAGAACGTTAATTTCCTGGTTAAGGGAAATAACTTTCTTACTGTACAATTCTACAAGCTTGTAACGTAAATCTGCATGATTAGTGACTCCGGTTATGAGCAAACAATGAACACGTCAAGTGTGATACAAGTAAGGTTTTATTAACTACATAAACACTTAAACTAGTCTAACATACTACATAAACACATTAAGCTGGTCCAACATACACATACACACACACACACACACACACACATACAGTTGGTATAGGAAAGGGTTAAAGTTTAACTCAGCATAGAAAGAGGCATAAAGAATGAATTTTATGAAACACTTTGCATATTCAACAGATCTAAAACCTGAGGGAAAACGTCAGATTCTTAGTTCAAACAAACCTTGTAAAAAGGTGTAACTGATACTTAATGCATCAATTAAAACGACTAAGTTTGATACTTGAATAAACCCAGTGATATCAGCGTTGGTTGCCATGCAACAAAGAGGCCTGTTCGACTTCCTGGGGTGTTACGCATTCCGGGGGGAAGGGTTCAATGGGTCCTCATATGGCTTGTTAACTGAGGTTACAGAGTATTTGTTATATAAAAAGAGAATATATAGTGTGTTGGATTGGTCCAGACGCTACAAGTGTTAATTCATTTCGTAAGCCTATTATATCTTAAACAGTAGCCTGTGCCACATAAATAGGGCAAATATATAATCAGGCTATGGAAATATAGCAGCTTGTTGTTATAGCCTTGTCCATTGTGGTTACATGGACAAGGAAGTGGTTGTCTTAATAGTTTTCAAATGTGAAATCTTGTTCGGATTATGCATACAAATGACCTAAGCAAATATGACTTGCTGTGCTGCTTGTGCAGGGTGCTAGTATTGATTGTGCTCTGCTCTTCAACTGATTTCGCAGAACTCTTTGCTTTGATGTTTGCGTAGATTTGAGTTTTATTCTTTTCCTAGAAGCCCCTTCTGCATAATCAGAGCTGCTTCTGCTATTGATTGGTGTGGTGTAGGTGTTTCTTGTAATTGTTAACCTGGTTCAGTGGTTGCTAGACTTTAATGGGTGCCTCCATCTCTCATTTGGCTTCAAAGCTTTAAGTGAGAAAACATTGTTATTCTGAGAAATGAATATTTCCTCGGGCTACACTTGCAGTCTGTGAGAGAGACAAATTTGTATTTTCTGTGAAAATAGCGTGAGGTGGCCTGCGCTTTCTTAGACATCCTCAGTGAGGTTCCTCCAAGAGCCACAGGATGTCAGACCAAGACTCTGCGTGCTTTTTTTTAAAACAAATCATTATGTCCAGATATCCTCTTTAGGTTTTTTCTCAACAAACCTCTGGGTTTTCTCTGATAAAGTTAAGTTACAGGTTTAATCTTCCTCCTACACAATTTTTCACTTTTTTTCATATCCATAACCTTGTGTTTCTCTCTCTGTTTTCTCACCCTCTCACCTCAGATTCCTTTGTTTGCTGTTTTTATTAGTGGTGTTTGCCAAAGCAAACTTGTTTGTATGTAGGGATAGTTTTTTTTAGGACTTTTTTTCTGAACTCCTAACCCTAAGTATTACACTTCAGTGGGAACTCATCCCCCAGTGTTTGTGCTACAGACATGAACAATACCTCAAATTGTGTGACTTGTGTAATATCACATTTCCAAGTGACTGAACTTGCTAATAATAATAATAATAATAATAATAATATATTATTTTATGTAAAAATACACACTAGGGTTGTAACGGTACACAAACATGACTGTTCGGTACTTATCTCGGTTTTGACATCACAGTTTGGTACAGCAGGGGGAAAGAACTAAACACAATCAATTTATTAAACAGTGATTATGCTCTAAATTATAGGGAGCCCTTTTACATTGCTATAAGGGTACAGTTATCAACAGAGCCCAAACTTTATTTTAATTAAAATTAAATTAAATTGAATTACTATTTATTTTTAAATATAATATAATCAAATATAAATATAATCAAAACTCATGATAAACACTTAAAAAATTGTATGCAAACATGTAAGTTGCACATAATTCAGTTTTTAAATTAACTTCTAAATTATAAACATTTCTAATTTTTGTTGAAATATATTAATTTATATAGTGGCGGTCATAACCTGTTTCCTAACAAATGTATTTAAACATAAATGAAATAATTAAGACATCACTAACAGGTAAAGTTAAATATAAGGAGAATATAGGTTAATATTTTGCAAAATGCTTCTCTAGACTTAATTTCTGTGGCAAACTAATGAGCTGTGGACACTGATGACTTGCCTGTGGTAAATGAAATGCTACGTGACATTTTGTTTTGACATCTTTCTGTGGTTGGATCACTGATTGAGCGATTACATGAGGCATGAGATGTTCATTAATGTTTATTTCACGTTAAAACTAGTAAAGAGGAAGGGATGATCACGCTCTGAACTGAGGCGTTTATACACTGCGATCTGTGATCTGGAAGTTTCCATTGAAGTTTCGCTCCTGCAGTGGTTAAAATAATGCTGAGTTTGTTCAGTGCACATGCGCACCAAACCGAAAGACCTGTATCAAACATTTTCGCTACGATTACATGTACAGTTACACACTATATATACAGTACTAAATAGCAAGTCTCGGCTGCATGATTGTTTAGATCATGGCAAAAATTTTAAAATCAAAAAAAGTTACTTTATAATTTTCTCTTCCTGTCTGTATTGTAGGTTGTGTACTTTACACTTCCTTGTGTTTGAGTTCTGTGGTGGCAGTGGTGGAATTGGTGTCTCTGTCTACCAGAGCAGATAGGTCCCAGGATGCAGTGGGGTCAGGGTTTGGACTGCTCCAGCTCTGCACAGGTCGCACAGACACCAGCATCTCTCAGGGGGAGGGCAGGTAATGATCACTTCAGAGCGGTGCAGTATTGCCATTTCCATGAGTGAGATGACACTCCAGAGCAGACAAATCCTGAAACCTGTAATGAGTGAATAAAGTAGGCTTATTATAATTAGCCCTCTATTCATCAGAAGAAAGAACTGAATGTGTGCCTCTCATAACTCCTTTAATGGGTCTGTAATTTCATGTTCTCTTTGTCATACTGAACAAAGACAAATAACTGTATAACAGCGGAGTGTGGTGGACCTCTGAATGAATTCAGAGTACTTTTTGTATGCCGAGTACTATACTGAGTACTTTTTTTGTATCTAAATATATGTGACCCATCTCCTTAACTTCATTCCACATTTTAGGACACAAAAGAGCCCACTTCTCAAACTTGATCTGCTGGTGTTGCTTTTGGACAATGCTGCTTTAGTAAAAGTGTTATAATATGCATATATACACTACCACTTAAAAGTTTGGGATGATATCAAAATTAAAACATTTTTGGGTGTTAGTATCAATATGTTAGTCTTAAGGTTATCTATAGGCCCTTTCGCACCGCTTTAGTTCCAGAACTAAATGTACGGTACTAAAGTACTGGGACGATATTGCACAAACTATTTCCCAGTACCGTTTAAAGGGTTGCATTCGCACCGAGAGTATGTACTAGGAAGTGACGTAAGCCGGTCGACAGCGACGTCATTTGTGCGCGGCGTTCAACATAGGGCTTGTTTGAAAGAACGGAAAGGAGGACTAAGAATCTCCAATGACAACTGGCAGTGCTACATTTGCTACAAGTGCCTGCACTTCAGCGTCCGTACATCTATCGCTGTTCTCCATACTTGCGAAATAAGTTGACACAATGTTTACAGTATGTTTACACAGCGTTTTAAATCATGGCGGGTGAGGGCGTTTTCGTACGCGTTTGGCCAATCAATGTCTACTTACGTCACGATTAGTACCAGTTGTGCTGGTTAGACCCTGCTCCGGAGTAGGAGCTAATTTGGTTCTCGAAAAAGGCAGTCCGGTACTAAAATCGCTCCCAGTTTCGGCGGTGCGAACACGCCGAAAAGTGGGTAGTTCCACAATTAGTTCTGGTACTATGAAAAGGTTCCTGCGATGCGAAAGGCAGTGTGCTCCAAAACAGTGACAAAATTCGCATTTAGAAGATATAAGCATTCAAATCTTGCAGTTCGTCACTTCCCAACGATTTTTTTGATGTCACATCGTACTTCAGCTTCTCATCAAACTTTCTGTCCAATCAAATGCTCTCTAGAATCCGAAGCGACTGCCCCCTACACGATTAAATAGACGCTGAAGCCGCGGCTGAAATCGGTCACTTGTCCACAGAATTAGTATTTTCTGTACAGTGAATGGCACGTAGTGCACTATATAGGGGACAGGGAACGATTCAAACAGTGTAAATATTAGCGCCCAACCGATATGGGTTTTTCGGGGCCGATACCGATATTAGGGCGTAAAAAAACACAGATATCGATATATCGGCTGATATTCTTTGTGTATATTATAGTACAGTACCAGTCAAAAGTTTGGACACTTTCCCATTTGAGGGTCCAAACATTTGACTGGTACTATATATAGAATACAGTATATACATAAACAGAATATATATACATAAACACATTTTTTGCAATGATCACTCAAATGTGGTGATCAAACACTTATAATGACGTGACAAGATACGTAATAGAGGCAGGGCATTTAACAATAAACTTTATTATCCAAAATGAGTCTGATGTCAGTGCACTGAACAGTAAAGTTGAAGTTTGTTCAACTTTAATTCAATTCAATTCCATTCAACTTTATTCCTTTGAAGTTTTTTTCACTTTTGAACATTCATTCACGGATTTGCGCTACTGTCTTCACACACAGACGAAACTTACTAGAGAAGTGTGAAGTGTGACATAATATACCTCTGTAAATAAATACAATATAAATTCACGTCTAGAGCACTTTAATGCCCTTTGGCTGTAACGTGTACTTTCCCTTGGAACTGGAATCATGGCGTAGTTTCATGTGAAGTCCACTTCGCAGGGCACTTGCAGTCGAATAAGACAACGCTTGAATGCTGCTGCCTGAACAAGAGACCGCCTTACTGAAGTGAAAGTGTTGACTGGTGTCACTATCTTGCGAACGCGCCGGCAGATCTCCACCAAATTCGGGGGGTCCCTTCAGCTCGAGGAGCCCTCTCGAACACCACCCTCCGCGCATCAGTAGCCCCCAGGAATTGCTTAATCGGTCGGTGCCGGACCGCAAATTTTACCACCCGTAACTCCCGAACCCCGGGGGCTATCGACGCGGGAGTGGTCTCATTCGAAAGCGGGCCTCTAGACGTACACTCGATTCACATTCGAGAGGGTTCCTCGAGCTGCAGGGATTCCCCGAATTTGGTCCGGATTCGCTGCGCCGTTACGGCGATATGGCCGTTAAAATTTTCAATGGTTTTCAATAGACTTAAGCATTAAAGCGTTTCATCCAGGTCGCCAGTAGCAAACAATGGAGCACGCTCGGCTGGACAAACTAAGTAATTACACCATTTCAAGCATTTTATCTGCGTTATATGTTCTGTAAAACAAGATTCCATATCGGCAGAATATCCGCCGATACCGATATATCGGAGACAGGCTCATATCGGCCGATAATATCGGCAAAACAATATATCGGTCGGGCTCTAGTAAATATGCTTTCCATTGGTTTTGTGCTGTGTCACGCTAACTACCAGATACACGATAGCACGGAGCGGATCACATGCGTGAGTCGGCGCAGCCCACAAAATGTATCGGAGCTATTTGAATTCTACACAGAATGCTATATTTTATAACAATATGGATGAGATTGTGGCTGGTATACCCTGTCAAATGCGGCTATACGGAGCTCAATGGCTCTGAACGTCTCTAGCCCAAGTTGTGATATAAACTAACGCTATTGGCTATTTTAAAAATGGGCGGGGCTGCTTGATATGTCCCGCCCTGTCTTCCTGTTTCAGTTAAAATGACGTCAACACATAGAGTAACGCTGCATGTTTCTAAGCATTTCAGGGGACCTTTAAAGATGCCTCCTATGCTCACCAAGGCTATTTTATTTGAATAAAAGTACAGTAAAACAGTAATATTGTGAAATATTATTACAATTTCAAATAACTGGTGTCTGTATGAATATATTTTAAAACGTAATTTATTCCTTTGATGTCAAAGCTGAGTTTTAGCAGTAATTACAGTAGTCTTTCGTCTCATAACATCCTTCAGAAATCATTTGCTGGTTTGCTACTCAAGAAATGTTTCTTATTATTATCAGTGTTGAAAACAGTTGTACTGCGTAATATTTTTGTGGAAACTGATGCTTTAATGCAATTTTTATTAAAGCTTGTATGTCATGCATTTAATTATATATGTAATTACATTACATTATATTTTATAGTATATTATATATTATATTTGTAATGATGAAGTTGCAATTTAGTACATTTAAAATATATTGACTTTAAAAGTAATTTTTAATAAAACACTGCAGTTAAAATTATAATCAAGTACTTGCGGTTTAGTATGTTTGTGAACACATCAAAATTTATTTAGCTACTTTAAAGCACCACATAAGATTATTAAACAATGATTTAAAATGTACTTTAAAGAAAAACGTTTAATTTGACATTATTACAAAGTGCACTTTTCAAATATACTAATAATACTTTGAAGTACACTACAAGTGTGCAATTAAACACACTTCTTTTTCACAAGGGATAATTTAATAAGATAGAAGACAGAGAAAGACAAAACTAATGAAGTAATTTTGTTTATAGCGAGAGTGATGTAGTTTTGTGGTTGTCCCATCATACTGCTTGCTTTGCAGATGTGTTCATCTTGAGACTGAGAGCACCATATGAGAGTGACTCATGGATGTAGTGTATCTGCAGGGTGTCCAGCTGTTGGAGTGGAGAGGGAGCAATGCTGATCTAAAATTCTCTCTGAATCCAGCCTTTCCTTCTAGCCGTGTGTCTCTGTGCTACCTGCCATTCTGTCTCAATTATGTCTCTCCATGCTGGAGGGAGGAGATGTCCTGCTGTCTCTCTGAGAGTCTGAGCCTCCTAGGGCCTCTCAGATCACACATAAACTTGCTGTCAAACACACACAAACATAGGTGCAAACATTCTCTCACATGACTTATATAGCAGCACACTCAGCCACTGGATGTTTTTTTTTGGGATTAGTTTTGACTGTTTTTATTGTCCGCATTTGTTTGGATAAAAGCGTCTGCTAAATGACTAAATGTAAATGTAAATGATGGTGCAGATGTTGGGAAAGTGAGAGGATGAGACCTAAAGCAGTGCTTCTCCACTGTTTTTTTATTAAACATTAACAAAAACAACCTGTAGTTTGCATCATTTTATTTTATTTATTTATTTTCGGATGAGGGTACTCCCTAATTTCTACCATTTGACAGATTTTGCACCAAAATACCCAAATAAAATAGCTAGATTTTATTTGGATGCATAGCCTGTGATGTCATATGCAAAAGGTATGGTAAGTGTTTTTAAAAATTAGAGAGCAGTATATATTTTTGCTATATTTAAAGGGGTCATATAATGTTGCAAAAAAGAACATTATTTTGTGTATTTGGTGTAATGAAATGTATTTATGCTGTTTAAGGTTAAATCAACACATTATTTTTGCACATACTGTACATTATTGTTTCTCCTCTATGCCCCGCCTTTCTGAAACGCGTTGATTTTTACAAAGCTCATCTGTCTGAAAAGCGAGGTGTGCTCTGATTGGCCAGCTATCCAGTGCGTTGTGATTGGCCGAATACCCCAAGCATGTGATGGAAATGTTAGCTCCTACCATACTGTGATGCCCTCTCCGGCCGGAGCGACGAGACAAAAACATTAAAACCCATTATAAACGAGGCATTTGTTGCATCCAGTGGGGACATAATTACGGATTATAATGACTTATTCTGTCTTTTTACGCGTTGCATCGTGCCGCGTAAACATAAA